ACAGGCTGGGCTACAAAGTGAGCTCAAGGCCAGCCTGAACTGCATAGTGAGACCCTGTCTCAAAAAGGCAAAAAGATAAAAATGAAAAAATGAATAAATACAGTGAGATACTGTATGCATTGTGTGTGTGTGTGTGTGTGTGTGTGTGTGTGTGTGTGTGTGTTTTCGTGCTACTGGCAATCCAATCGGCCTTGTGCGTGCTAGGCAAATGCTCCACCACTGAGCTATCCCTAGCCCAAGATACTATATATGTTCTTTAATGTTCATCTAGTTTAGAAAATATGAAAAAGACCCAAAGGGAGAGAGAGAGTTTAGATTCATGATCCAAAGAGTTGCATTTCGTAGCTTTGGGTGGTACCATGCAGTTGTTCATAAATACTTTTATTTTGTCTTACAAAGTCCCAATCATATTGAAAGTACAGGTTTTCTCTCATTTTTTCTCCTGCACAAGTAATGCAATAGGAAAACATAAAAGCAAAAATCCCATGTAAATCTGCCACTTAAAAGTGATCGCTACTAACCTTTAACATCCGCCCCAAACCAGAAGTTTGGGGTCACAGTGACTCTGTCGCTGAGTATTCACCTCTGACCTTGCCAAGGACACCGGCTGTGCTTCTCACTAACACTTTTATGCCTGTGGATTTGGCCGGCAGATGGATTCACAGTGGAATCAGCCCATCTCTCTTCCTTGGATATTGGGATATTTTTCATTTTTAGGAGAACACTTAAATGAATGAAGTAAAATGTTTGCATGTATCCTTAGTTATCCAAAGGTGTGATTTTACGTTGTTTTTATTCACTTGTATTTTAACTACAACACATCAAAATGTTGATTGCAGCTATCTTTGATGGTATTAGATGAGATTATTATTTTGTTTTTATACTTTTTTGTTTCCTTTAAACACTTTGCAATGAACAGGTTTTATTTGCATAACCACCATGTTATTTAAAATTACAGCGTGAAAAATGTCCATATTACTATGGTGTTCATAGTAACGGTTTTCTACGGCTGCCTGTAATTCCATGTAGACGACAAGCTGTCATTTACTTAGCCATCCTGGTCACTGGACATTTAGATTGTTTTCCAATTTTTGGAGACCTTTATGGAGGAGACCCCCTCCATATCTAAGGATGTGTCTTTGGGAGACATCGCAGTGCAGGTTTTGGCCAACCTGCCCCAGCTTCCCCTCCCACCAGCAGGACAAGGCAGCACCAGCCCAGCTACCCTCTCCTCTGGGAGGGTTCAGGCCCCTGAACAGGTGACACCCTTCCAGCAGGGCCAGGGAGAGCAGGAAATGGTTTCATCAGCTGTGCCAGCATGGTGACCCCAGGTTCAGACCGTGGGAGCCAATTTTTAACAAGCCCAGTTCCCAGAACAGAACCTGCAGAGAAAAAGAAAAGACAGCAAGCAAAGAAAAAAAATAAAAAGCTCTCTGCTGGAAAAAACACACACATACCCAGATTAAAATAATATTTGGCACTTACGTCTCACTTTTAAAATTCTTCAAACGCTTTATAAACACTAGCTAATTAATTAAGATGCCTAAATCTGGCTGTAGTTGGTGGAGAGAGCTCAAGAGGAGCTAGAAAAAAAGGGGGGCAGTCCTATCCAAGTGCAGATTTTATTGTCGCCTGCCTGTGGTGTGATTACAGGCCTCCGGCTGCACCACGAGAATAGCCCTGCTGTAGCTTGCAGCATGCTGAATCCACAGCCACTCCTGAGTGGGGTGCTCCTGCCCCAGTGCTGACTCACAGCTGCCGCTGTTATTGATAAGGATAATAATAACCGGCTCCAGGATAGGCCAGTATTAGCTCCATTGAACAGATGAGGGAAGAGACTTGGAGATTGAATTTGCCAGGGTCACCATGCAAATAAAACCATCTCCTTCCACCATTCATCCCTGTGTTCACGCAGCATATGTTTGTTGAGGACCCACAGACACTGCTCTAGGCAGGAGGCTGGAAATGGTCCTTTGTGGATCCAACATCCTAGTGGGAGAGAGAACAATCCTGAGAAAACCAAATATATCGATAATACAGCCATGTGATACTAATAGGGATAGGAGCTAGCATTTAACCAGCGTGTATGCAGCAGGTGCTTATGTGTAGATCTTTCGTGGTCCTCATGACTTTACAGGAGTGGTGGTGAATGCAGAAATTCTGTGTGGATGAGGGAACAGGGACCAGAGAGGAGGTACTAAACTGGGGGGCGCCTGTGCTTGTCTGCTGCGCAGGGCCTGCGCTCTGCCAGGCGGCATTTCCGGTTTGACCAGCTGTTCTGCTAGAGTACACCATGGGGATGCCCTGGCTTGGTGCTCTTGGCGGTGGACAGTAATGCTGCGGAGGCTCCTGGGTGGCTTCCTGTCCCGGTGGGCCCCAGGCCGGCCTGTACCTCTATGTGCCCTTGCTCTCTGGCCACCAGCTCCACCTCCCCACCCTCAGGCCGGCTGATGCTGACTGCGTCCCTGCCCCTGACCTCTGTGGCTCTGGTGTCTTCCTTGTACTGCGAGAATCAGGCTGTGCTCAGGCTGGCACCTGGAGACTCTGCTCACCCTGCCATAAGAACTGGGCCTTGGGTGAGCCCTGGGGCGGAGAGGGGGAAAGGGGCAGGACAAGGGACAGGTGGTGCCAGGCCTGCATTAAGGCCCTGGGCTCTCCCCATGAGGGCAGAGGGGTACACGAGCTTCCCTTTCATGAGCACCTCCTGCCAGCAGCGTGGTGCCAGGCCAGGGGCTGGTGGACAAACTCACAGGGTCTCTGCTGCCAGCTGGAGCAGGAGGGGCTGCTGAGGGAACCTGCTCCAGCCTTCTCTACTGGACAAGGTCACATTGAGGGTCGGTGCGGAGCCCAGGAGAGGACCTGGATCACCTCCCACTGTGTGTCAGGCACCACTCTTGCCTGTCTTCCTTAAGCTCCCTTACCCCTATCAGATCTCCCTCTCTGTCTTGCCTCTCAGTGCCTGTGCTACCTCTGTGTGTCTGTCACGTCCTTGGGTTCCACGTCCACATATTTGACCAACCGAAGATGAGGAATGTAGTTAGGCCTGTGATGGTTGTGTCTGTACTGAACAAGTACAGAGTTCTGTTGTTATCATCATTATTCCCTAAACAATCTGATATAACAACTATTTGCATTTGTTGTCACAGTTGTGTCCACATATCTCATTCTGGTTAACAACGGACCCCATGTACTACAGTATGAACCATATACCTCGGTGTGTGAGTAGGCCATACTATCTTGGCTTGTGTGATTACACTGGAATGTTCACATGACGATGATATTGCTCCATCCCGTTATTCAGTGACGCATGGCTGTACAAGCAATCTAGAGATGATGTACAGCGTGCAGGTTGTGTGCACAGGCCATGTACAAGCACTGTGCTATTTTATTCGGCACAGCACCCTCAGGATGTGAGCATCCTTGAGCTTTGGGATCCAAGCGAGTTCCTGGAACTAATTCCCCACAGATGCTGAGGAGTGGCTGTGTGTGTTTCTCCAGGGTCTTTATGACCTGTCTCATTCTCCTCACCTCCTCACCTTCCCCTGGTTTAGAATCAGGGATCCTGACTGCCTTGCCCTGCAGCTGTTCTTGCTCAGCTGCTGGGCATTTGCAGCACAGCTCATGGCCACCTCATCCCACCTGGTCATCTTCCTGGCTGTGCCCTCTCCTGCCCATTAGGGTTCACTCTCTCACATCCCCTTCCTTCAGCTCAGCTCTGGGCTCCTGCCAGCTGCCTGCCCGGAGTCCTCACAGTGCAGCCCAAGCCGGGCCTGCGGGACATCAGTGTGGGTCCCAGGGAGTGAAGTGGAAGCAGCAGCCCCTTCTTGTTTATTGACTCTGTGATGACAGCAGCTTCTCTGCTCAGCCAGGCATTGTGGGACTTCTTTGTATAACATTATTTTCCAACAAGGCAGGCAAGTGGGTGGGGCTCTACCTAACTCATGGCTAAGAAAACTGAGAGCTAAAGCAGATGGGTACATTAGGGGCACACATGAATGAGGGCCACACCAGGCTTCAACCCAGGTCTATTGAGTCCGGACCAGATGATGCTTTTTGACACTATCCCAGCCCCGGGTTGTTTGGTCTTGCCAGAGATCCATCAGTCTGAGCTCATAGTAACTATTTTACAGATGAGGAAACCGAGGCTGAGAGCCATAAAAGGCCCTAGCCAAGGGCAGCACTTTCATCCATGCAGCATGTGACAGTAAAGAGCACCTGGGTCTTCTCGCTCATCTATGTGACAACCCTAGGTGACACAGAATGCCACCGATCACCACTCAAGCTCACTTTCTCTCTCCTACTCCACTATCAGGTGGCCGAGTCCAGCTTCCTACTCAGGGCCTGCTTCCTGGTCCTGGCTAGAAACTGAAACTACAAACTTGCAGAGCCCCCCTCGTCCCAGGTGGCCTCCTCCCGCTGCTCAAGCTGGCCCCTCTCTTGGAACCCCAGGCTCCCTTCTGCCTGGCAAGTGCAGATTTGAATTCCAGGGCCCAGGTCAGACACCATTCCTCCACAGAGGGCTCAGGCAGGCAAATCCCCACTCTCCCGTGCTGACTGACCTCTGTGCCTCTGGTTCCACACTGATATTAGAGTCTTGAGGCACAGGACCAGGTGAGGGTTAAATGTGATGATACCTGTAGTATGCTGAACTCCAGGGCTGTGCACTCAGGGAAACTCACTGTTGATAGACACACGATAAACGCCCAGGGCCCATCAGGATGAATAGTGACTGCTCTGTGTCTCCCTCCAGGAGCAGCCGGAGAGGAGACTCTAAAGGTGATTCAGCCTGGGGAGCCGGTGTTGGTTCCTGCTGGAGGGAATGCCACTCTGGACTGCACTGTGACCTCCCTGCTCCCTGTGGGGCCCATCCTGTGGTACAGGGGAAAAGGACAAGGCCGAGTGTTAATCTACAATTTCAAAAACCATTTCCCCCGAGTCACAAATGTGTCAGACACCACACAGAGAAACAACAGGGACTTTTCCATCCGCATCAGTAACGTCACGCCACAAGATGCCGGCACCTACTACTGTGTGAAGTTCCAGAAAACAGCCTCGGAGAACGAGGAGATTCAGTCTGGAGGAGGAACCAAGTTGTCTGTGCGTGGTGAGTACAGCTTGGGCCTCCCTCAGGCCTCAGTGTGACAGTAGGTCAGGAGTCACGCTCCCCATCCTGTGAGCACCAGCTAAGAAGCAGGTTGGGTGCTGGCTGCTCACGTTCATGATCCAGTGTCACTTCTTCTGCAGGTTGGGGAAACAGAGTCTGCAGGAGCCACGCTATTTGCTTCAGCTTCATGGCTCATAAACGGGGCCTCCTGCCCCCTCATGTGTCTCCTCCACAGACCTTGCCTTTCCGCTGTCCCCAGGCCTTTGAGTGACCTGCCGAGTCGCAGGGCCAGGCCCTCCCTGCTGCCCCAGAGGATGATTTCCCTGGTGCGTGAGTCCTCTCTTTATGCCACAGCACTAAGCCTACTGTGTGCAGATTCTGTTGAGGGCACCATGGAAACAGCAGGGATCCACCTGGCCGAAGCTCTTCCCTATCAAGCTTCTGTTCCCCTTCTGTGAGGCCCACTGCCTGGGGCAGGAAGCAGGCAGGACATGTCTTCCTTGTCTTCCCCTGAAGAAACAGCTCTGTGCGAAGAGCCTGACAGGCTCAGGCTCCCTATAGAATCTGATGCTTTGGCTGGAAGACTTAGAGGTTGGCCCTTTGCCTTGGGTTTTTCTGCAAAATCCTGTGTATTGGGCACCAGCTGTCATAGGCAGCGATGGCTGTGGGTCCCCTACTCAGAGGAGACTCCCCCGTATGGGTAATGTAGGGGCTCCCTGGTTGAGGCAGCAAAAATGCTCACCTTAGGTTTCCTTCCAGAAGCCCAGGGTCCTCTTTCTAGTGCCTGATTAGAGAATTGTCAGCAACAAAGACCTTTAAATCATTCAACCCAACCACTATTTACAGACAGGAGCCTGAGGTCCAGATGTGGCCAATTAGTCCTCAGGTAGGGATCAGAACACAGATAGGATTCCAAGCCAGGCCCCTTGCTGCCCCAATGTTAGATATTTTCTCCACAGAGGAGCCAGGTACATAGTAGGCGCTGAATAAAAGCTCCTTGACCTGAACCGCTGAGCAGGGAGCCAGCATTTCTGCTCTTCCTTGGTTTCTGAAAGGTTCAGCTGGCCACAGACATTCAGAACCTGAGGCTGGTTGGTGATTGGAAAGCTTCCTTCAAACTAAAGCCATAAGTGCAGGGCATTCCTTCCTGAGATTCGTATGATTACGTGGAGAGCGCTGCATTGTTTAACAGCCGCCTTATGCTCCAGCATCTGCATCTATCGTGATGCATTAGACAGTCTTCTGTAGGTGGATGTTCAAGTTGATAGGAACCATGTGCTGTTACAGCAGCACTTTAGTGCTGCACCAAAGGGAGACCCCCAGAAGATTCTGCAAGGTCAGAGGGTGAAGGTCTTTAATGTGGGACTTGTACATCCTTCGTGCTGTACCAGAGGGAGAGCCCCAGAAGATTCTGCAAGGTCAGAGGGGAAGGTCTTTAATGTGGGTATTGTCTGTTTTCCCTCCTGGATGTGGCAGCAGTCAAGTCTCCTCACAACTCCTGGACATGGGCAGGGAGGGTGGCTTCATCCTACCTCTGTGTCAGCAATTGCAGCTAGCAGGCAGCTCAGGTCCAGCGCAGTCTGCCGATTCCTGAGGCCACAGAGGAAGAGTTGAGCTTTGTTCCGCATGGAGCTGGGGTGTGAGATGCTTTGGGTTAGCACAGACCAGGCCCTGCAACCAGGGGCCCATGTGGCAGGGCAGGGACATCTCTCAGGGTGCAGCCCTAGGGCCACTGAGGGGCATCCCAGACAGAGAGCACTCAGACCCCAGCCTCAGCGTGGGACCTGCCCTCTTACACATGTTCGGGTCTGAACAGATGCTGGAGCCTCGCGAATCCTGCTCAGCACAGACCCCTCCGTGATGGACCTCAAGTGACCTGAAATGTCACTGACGAATTTATCCTCCCTCCCTTCACAGGGCTTCTAACTTTCTGTAAACAGCTGCTCTGGAGGAAGTGCCTGGATCTTGCCATGTTTCAGAAGCCCCTTTACCAACATCATTTTGAGAGCATTGTTACGAAAACAGAGAAAGAATCCAAATTTGGTGGTTTCTGTTCCTTTTTCATTCAGGTTTTTCATGGCAGCTGCAGGAACAGGCCTGAGACTTTCCTGGTGTTTCCATACTTCTTCTGTTGTGTCTTCTGGCTGCCTAGAGAAAAAAAAATGTATTTTCACAAAATAGTAATAATAGCAATCATAAGTGTTATTTATTGAGCACTTACTATGTGCTGGAACTATTGTACATTTATCCTCAATGTACCAGGGTGGTGTTTCCATTCACCTTGTACAGGAGGTGACACAGGCTGAGATGATAAAGAACAGGTGTTAAATTAGTCAGCCTCTGTGGGATGAGATGGGCTCAGATCTTTATTCCCATCTCTGTCCTGTCTGTCTTCAACCAACCACACTCTTCTCTGAGCCTTGTCCCATAAAAGGACTTACACTTAGACCCCCTCATGGGACTGGTGATAATAGAGGGGGCAACCAGTGCCAGGCTCTCTAGAATTCCATAGCTGGTGACTGCATTTGTCCTTCAGTTCTGTGAGGGTTGGTCCCAGGACCCCGAGGATACCCAAACCCAAGGCTGCTCAAGTCCTTCGTATGAAGTAGTGTAGAACTGGTCTATAACCCGCAGATATCCTCCTATATACTTTTAAGTTATCTCTAGGTTGCCTACCCATCTAGTACCTAATACAATGCAAATGCTATTTAAGTAGTTGTTACACTGTATTATTTAGGGAATAATGACAAGAAAATCTGTTCATATTCAGCACAGATACAATTTTTTAAAATATATTTTCTATCAGCAGTTCATTCACTCCAAAGCTAGGGAACGCTCCATACAGAGGGCAGTCTGCAGCCTCAATCCCTTTAGGGTCTTGTGGGCTGCTGCTGTCCTGATGGCCTGACTTATTCAAGGGACACTTACTCGAGCTTATTATGTGTGATAGAGGTAAGGAAGCAAGTTAAATATTTACAGATGGAAATATGTGTGATATTTGCCACCATGTGACTTTTATAGATGGTTCTGGGTAATAATTAGCAATTTGTAGACACCTGTTAGGACCCATACAGGGCAAACTGCCTTCACTCATTTGTGTGCTTTTAGGCCCAGGGAGAGCTGCCTGCTCAGTGGGTCTGTGTCTGTGTCTCTTGTAATTAACTAGCAACTGAGGACTTAACCACCTTTGGCTTTCTCTACACTAGGTGATCTGTTTCCAGCCTCACACTGACCCAACAGAAGCTCCTAGGTTCGGGAAGATACCTTCTTAGCCTCTCCCTTTCAAATTCAGAGCTTACAAGAGGTCAGACCTACTGGCATATTTGTGGAAAGCAGGAAAATATGGAGTAAATGCCTGAGTACCTGCAGGGAGAACTTTAGATGGGAATAAAGTCTGGTTAAATATAGATCTGTGTGTGTTCGTGTTTTAGCAGCATCTCCTGTGTATGTCCAAAGCAAAATGATTCCAGAGCCGCATTTCACCCTCCTTGCCAACAGGAAGGAGAAATGTAGCTAGCTGTCTCTTGTCACAGATGGAGCTCTAGGACGTACTCATCACATCTCTGGGGTGGCCTGCCAGAATCAAGTTTATGTGGTGGTGCCTGCCATCGTGCTGTTTGTCCTCTGTATTTATCTCTACAAATGCTTTCCCTACGTGGTACGGTTTTCGGGGGAGGCTGGCAGGAAACAGTTAATACAAAGTGTTAGACCTGACAATAATTTCCTCCCTGTGCTCAGATAGCTGGAAACTTCCTGGTACAGAAAGAGGAACTTGGACCTCAGGCCTGGGTTTCACCTAGGCCCCCCTTTCTCACTTCCTAGCTGGGCAGATGTGCTACCCTCAAGACAGGAGACAGAGGCTAAGGACATTACCCTCTCGGCTTCCTTAGGAGGATTCACAGATGTCTGTGGCTGGGGATGTAGCTCAGTGGTAGCAGTGCTTAGCAGACAGGAGGACCTGGCCTCCATGCCCAGCACCCACTCCCCCATAATAATGTCTAGGAAAGTTCCCTATAGCATCACGCCCTTGCCATCAGTGGTGGTCATTGCAATCATGTTTCTTGTCTATAAATGCTCCTTTGTAGCCAGACCCTCTCCCCCTGTGGTGTCGGGCCCTGTGACGAGGGCCACATCTGGACAGACAGTGAGCTTCACCTGCAAGTCCCATGGCTTCTCCCCCCGAGATATCAAACTGAAGTGGTTCAAAAATGGGAATGAACTCTCTGGCTTCAATACCAGCGTGGATCCCGCGGGAGAAAGCGTCTCCTACAGCATCTCTAGCACAGCCAAGGTGGAGCTGGCCCCTGGGGACGTTCGCTCACAGGTCATCTGTGAGGTGGAACATATCACCTTGCAGAATGTCCTTCGTGGGATTGCCAACTTATCAGCCAGCATCCGAGGTAGATGACCCTGACCCTGACCCTGACCCCAGCCCAAGCCCATTCCTGTCCACCAAGCATGATCCTCCCTGCTGGCTTTTGTACCTGGGCCTCAACGGCCTGGAGTCTCATTTCCAGCAGGCCACCTACTGTGTGCATGTGGGTTCTTACCCTATGATGAGCACTGTGCTGATAGTTGCTTTTATTTTACCAACAGTCACTACAATTATCAGGCACCTACTATGATCAGAGCCCCTGCATACCCAGTGATTACATTTATTCTTTTCTAGTTACTGCATCCTGAGTGCCTGCCAGGGGTTACACTTGTTGATTTCACTCATTATTACCCTATTAGGAGCCACTAGTCCCTGAGCACCTACTGTGTGTTGGGTGCTGTGCTTAGTGATGTCATTCATGTGCAAACCCTGAATGTTTGAGCCCCTGCTGCATGCCAGCACTGTCCCAGGTGGTGCCCTTGCTGTAGTGGTGGGAGCTCAGCTCTCCAGCCCTTCCTCGGTGTGCCCTGTCCATGCCGTAAGGTCAGAGCTTCTGCCTGTGCTGTTTCAGTTCTGCCCACTGTGGAGGTCACCCAGCAGCCCACAATGACAGAGAACCAGGTGAACGTCACCTGCCAGGTGAAGGCGTTCTACCCCCAAAGACCCCTGAACCTGACCTGGCTGGAGAATGGAAATGTGTCCCGGACAGAAACGTCCTCGAATGTCACCGAGAACAAGGATGGGACCTACGACTGGACAAGCTGGACCTTGGTGAATTCGTCGGCTCACAGGGAGAACACAGTGCTCACCTGCCAGGTGGAGCACGACGGGCAGCCCGCAGTCACCAGAAACCTGACCGTGCAGGTCTCTGTCCCCCCGAAAAAGGAGGGCATGGATACCACCCCTGGTGAGGCTACCTCTCCAGCTGACTAGCTATTTTTAAACCTTATCTTAATTTTTTTTAAAAAAGTTGTTGAAAAGTAGTATTCATGCTTCGTATAGAACCATACAGAAGTCTGTAAACATAAAGTAGAACTTTAGCACAGCTTCCCTCTCCCAAGTCTCACTCTCCGAGAGTCACTACTTACAGGATTGATATATATATCTCAGTGGATTTTTGACCCAAATAGATACTAAGGAAGAAAGAAGGGAGTGAGGGGACCATCCTGTCCTGGTGTCCTGCCTGCTGCCTTCCCCTCGCACAGTTGTTACGTTCTTGTTCCTGCGGCCCCGGCCCCTCACTCCTCCAGATTCAGCATGGTTGGTGTCCCTGGCTGGTAGTGTGTGCCTGCCACTGCGGTGGGCTGCTCAGGATGCTTGCAGCTGGGCTCGGGGACAGTTGATGCTACAGGACTTCCTTGCACATACTCTACCCACGTGTAGCTGTTTCCTGGGACGGTCTCCTGAGCTGCATTTCAGGGCCATGGATACAGTCGTTAAGGGCAAAGTTCACACTTCCACTCTCCCAGCACAGTTCAGGGTGCCCGGGCATCATTTCTCAACCCCTCTCCAATGTGTGACCAATGCAGGGCTCTTTGTTGAAAACAGCTGAACCTTGGTGGCCTTTCGGTGCCACCATGGAGTGTCCCATCCCCGGTCTCCATTGCCTGGCACAACAGAACCTTTGAATGCATTAGAATGGGGCCATTTCCTTTTGTACCCTTCAGGGAAGCTCCAAAAGACCCAGCCTCAGGGCTGTGTCACGGCGCCACTCTGATTATGCTGATGCCCAGTTTTCATAGGCTGTATGGTCTTCTGCTCTGGTTCCTTCATAAGCTTGGTTTGTGACCTTAGACAAGTCAGTGCCTCTCTCTAAGCCTCTGCTTGCTCATAGCTATGTTGAGTATGAACTTTGGGGTCAGTCAGCTCTGAGTCTCAGCTGGAAGTGACCGTGATTGTCTTGTTCTGCATCATAGCTTCAGAGTATACAGTAGACGTTCAGCAGATACTTTTAGAAAGGATGGAAGAGTCAGTTGGGAAGGTGGTTATTTAGGTAGCGTCAGAGTTAGTCAGTGAGGTAGAGATTATTGTTGGCCTCAGTAGCAGCAGAGGAGAGAGCTCAGCTGCCCAAGGTCATGTGTCTACTTAAGGCACAGATTTGAACCCATGTGTCTGTGGCTTCGAGCCCTGCCCTGACTAAGCGTGGTACTCTAGGACCTTCAGCCTGTGCCCGGGGTCCCCAAGCTGCTGTGTCCTTCTTATGTGTCCTGACGCAGAGCTCCTAGGCTGTGGGCCAGGTCCTGAGCACAGATGGATGGTCAGCCCCTGAGCATCTACAGTGACCCCTAGCCAGCTGGCATGTCCCCGCTTCTCCTGTCCTGTCCCCTGACCCTCGCGCCTTGTTTGACAGGCAGTTGCTGACTGAGAATCAGAGATGGGTCTGTGCTGCTGTTGTGGCCGCTCTGGTCACTCCAGATGAGGAGGAGCATGTTTCTGTTCCCCGGGAAGGAGGCCACTGCCCTCATCCTGTAGCTGGTGTCCTCTGTAGTTGTCAGAAGCACCCACTTTCCCTCCTGGCCCCCAGCATGGCGTTTGTTCCACTTCTGAAGGACCTTCCTGGGCGAGGGTGTGCAGACCCTCTGCGTGCTCCTGTGGCTGAAGACATCTGAGAAAGCCCAGCCAGATGTTCTCCGTCCATGGAGCCTGTATAGCGGTGGGAAGAGGCAGTGGGCTTTTGTTTTTCTCTTTTTAACCTACCTACTTGAAGCCTTTCTTCCATGCAGAGAAAAGTACCGAGAACTGGAACATCTTTATTGTGGTGGGTGTGGTATGTGCCTTGCTGGTAGTCCTACTGATGGCGACCCTCTACCTCCTCCGAATCAGACAGAAGAAAGGTGGGTGGACTCCCTGCTTTCTCCCTAAGCTTTTTCCTGGGTTGTCCTTCCCAGAGGGGGTGGCTACTAGGCACCTTGGGCAGCAGTGACTTATATTGGTGAGAAGGCCAAAGCCAGCAGTGCTGGACTGGTGAGCAGCTGGACCGTGGAAATGGGGTGGGTCAACTGTGGCATTGCCCTCATGGTTATAGAATGGCTGTCACTGCTGCAGGCCTCACGTCTTCTTGGGAACATTACTAAAACCCTATGTCGGTGGTGGAACACTGAGGCGGGAAGAGGGGACTTGGAGACATGGACTTCAAGGAGGAGCTGCCTAGCAGGCTTCTGCTTTCTTCTTCCATATCCCAGCCTGGATAAGAGGCTGGAAGGGAAAGGACCAGTAGTCCCACCTGCCTCCAAGGCAGGGAGCTGCAGGCTGCGTGGATACCGTGTGTGAAAGGTTAGGGAAGAGCCTAGCCCGCCAGTACTTAGTGACTGTCAGCTCCCAAAGTTGGTGTGATGTGACCTCCTCCCGGGAAGGCCCCCCACGATGTACCACCCAGGACAGCTTCCCCTGGTTTGTGTCTATGTGTAGCTGTCAGTGTGACCAGGCTTTTGACTCTAAAGTCAAGCAAACCATGGGTTCAGACCCTTTTTGTACGCTGTAAACAATCAGTTGGATCTTTGTGTGCCTCAGTTTCCTCATCTGTGAAATGGGATTGGCAGTGCCTGTCTTGAAGGATAGTTATGAGGCCCAAGTGAGCCCCTGACTCATCCGGGGACCTCAGTGTATATTCTCTCCCATACTTGGAGGAGGTGATTTTAAGCTGATATTTCCAAAACCTTTTCTTACTGCAAGCGACAGAAATAACATTTCATGTCTGAACCCAACACACCCCTTTATATAAAATTGAAACACTGGTATTTTCTTTTTGGTCACTTTCTGTGCATTTCTGTTAAAAATGTTTCTTGTGACCAAACATGAGCCACAGCCTGTAGTGACAAGTGCTGCTGCAAGCTGCTGTGCCGTGCTGGGCACCTGGCTGAGCCTGGTCAGGCGTGGGGGGCATCAGGAGCACATCCCTCTGCCCCCTCCACCTCTGCCCCAGTTCCTGCCCCTCTGGGCTGACTGAAGGACTGTGCTGAGCGTCAGGTCCCACCACTGGAGCATGCCAGAGGTTCTGCACATCTGCCATATGTGACCTGACGCAGAGCTCCTAGGCTGTGGGCCAGGTCCTGAGCACAGATGGATGGTCAGCCCCTGAGCATCTACAGTGACTACAGTGACTCCTTGGGAAGCCTCACACAGGAAGGGCCTCACTTGGGAAGCAGGGCGCTGTCCACCCAGGGAACGATCCCAGCCCTCCTTTCTGAGGCTCAGCCCCGGGCACCGCCCCGCTGTGGCCTGTGTGAGCTCACCACTGTGGAGTGAGGCCTGTGTTACCAAGGAGGAAAGGGAGCCTGGAGAGCTGCAGACGCAGCGGAGACCCCCTGCCCCCTGAGTGGTGGGTCTGTGCAGAGCCCAGCTCTCTACCCAGGCTCTGGGGATGGTGACACCACACTCACTCTGTCGTCCCCCTGCATCTGTGCAGGAGTAATGCAGTCCTCACCATGGACCTAGGGGAGGTGTCACCAGCCCATGTTACAGCTGAGGAGACGGACGCAGGCGTGTTACAAGGCTTGCTTAGAGCCTCGCGACTGGACAGCAGGGCTAGAACTCAAAGCCAAGGACTATGTTAGAGCCACTGTGCATCCCATCCCTCCACCCTGAAGAGTCCTGCCTTATCCCTCATGGGCCTCTACCTGTCAGTACCGCAGTGAATGTCTCCATTTCAACTCTACTACCTGCCAGCTGTGTGAGCCCTGGGAGCCCCGGAGTCTCTGGTGTCATATGAGGGCGTTTGTGGTCCAGTCACTCAATTCCCAGAGACATCTCATGTCCCAGCACTTGGGCCCGTGGGTCTCCGTTCAGCCAGGAGATGGCAAAGCCACTATGCTGCTCACCTCAGGGTGGAGCCCCTGCCGGGGGCCAGCCTGCTTAATGGGCAGCCGGAGTGCCCGCCCTGTGGCGGCCTGCAGCCTGTGGAAGTGTGGCGCTGAGCACATTTGGGAGTGCGGGCTGCTTTTTAATTACAATTTTATAGCAAAATGGGAGTCAGATGGCTGCTGAGCCCCAGGGGCTTCTCTGTAGGGTGCCCTGTATCGCAGGTGTCAAAGCTCTGACACAGACAAACCGCTTTCCTTCTTGGAAAGTGGTACTGCAGCATGTAAATAATTGGGTGCCCAAGCCAACCCTGCTAGTTACAGAAGCTCAGAAAGGGGAAGCGACCCGCCTAGGTCACATAGCAGGTGTGTTGGTCCACAGGGGGGCATCTGGTCCCTCCCTCGCTTCTAGGACCCCTGGCATCTCCCAGAAGTGAGGCAGGAAGGCCTGGCTTACTCCCCATGGCCTCCTGTGGAAGATAATGGGCCGCCTAGAACATCCATTTTGCTGGGCACGTGGTTCCCAGCATAGGATTTCAGTAATTCCTTCCCTTATTCCTGGTAAATGAGAAAAATATGTTCCTAGTTAAATAACTGGCTTTTGTTTCCTTTCCTTTTCAGCCAAGGGATCCACTTCCTCTACAAGGTAAGTGCATCGCTGGGCGGGCATGCTTTCACAGTTACTACTTGGTATGTAGCAGCCCCCAAACCATTCCACTGACCCTCCCTCGTGTGCCTGTGGATGGTCCTGTTTGTTTCCCTTGTAACCTGTTTGCGCCGGGCCTGTTCCTAGTCACTGGGGCAGACGAGTGGGTTTCCCTGTGGCGTACATTGCTCACCTGCTGTCCACAGACAGAGAGGCCCTTATCTAATCCATGCAGACAGGGGAGAAACTTATAAGCCCCCCATGCTCGCAGGCGTCCTGCATGTACCACAGACTCATCCTCCCCAGACCCACGTCGTGTACCTGTTCCTTCCTTCCTTCCTTCTTTCCGTCCTTCCTTCTGTCTGTCCTTCCTTCCATCCATCCGTCCATCCATCCATAGCTGTGGAGTACCTGGGCACAGGGTGGCCTGGGCAGTGTAGGGTAGTGGATAAACCCCAGTCAGGAGCTCCGTACACAACGGAACCTGTATCTCAGTGACAGTGGAAATTAAGCCTGAGCCAGAGCACAAACCCACAGGCACAAGCTTGGAGAAGGAAGAGAAAATGGAGAAGGGACTTCAGCTTGTGGCAGTGAGCTGAAAGGTGCTCAGCTGTGTTGGAGAAGGTCAGGCTGGCCCGCTGCAAAGGAAAGGGACAGCTGAGGTTGCTGCGCTGGCCTGGGGTCTGAGTGATCATTACCTCAGGTCTGGTTCTACGCGGTGGCTCTGGAGAAGTCCTGTGGGTTGCGGGGGCAGCCCGACTCCCACGAGGTGATTGCTCCTGCTTGGGGCTCATCATGGGGTGGTCTGTCTGCCGGGGCTCTGCAGTTTAGGGTAACCACTGGTGACTTCTAGGCATTACTCCAGGGGGCTGGAAAAGGATATTATAAAAGCTGGTGCTTGAATTGCCTGCAAATTGTGCAAGCACCTTAGTCTTACCATCGTGTCCTCAATCTGGAAGGGGGATGAGACAGGCTAGGTAAACTGAGAACTGATAAACCCGTTTTTAAACACTCTCCTTAAGTGATTACATGCTTAAGTACGGAGCTGAGTAGGGAGCTGACAAAGTTTGAGGTAATAAAGGAGACAGATACAAAGTGAAGGCGGAGATGGCAAGCTTTGTCCTGCTTTTCATTACTCACTGGGCATCTGAAGGCTTAAGTGAAATGTCAGTGCTTTTTAAGCAAAAGCTTCCTTTAGTGCTCACTGTCCCAAAGTGATGGCATCGTGTCACAGGGGGCACCTTAGTCCGCTGATGTGCTTTTTCTGTGATTTATTGCAGAGCCCTACTCTGCAGCTCTGTTCTGGGTGTGGGGATACAGCAGTGAACATGGCTAGGCACGGGCCTTCATGGTCGGGGATGCAGGCAGTGTGCATGGAAGGAAAATGCTTCCGAACGTCCCGACAGGTGATGACGACTCCTGCACGTAGGGCATGGGGGCTCACAGAGGGGCCTGCCTTAGGCAGAGGTGGGGTGGCCTCTGGGGAGCTCCTGTGAGTAGGGCTGTGACCACAAGCAGCGTGCTGGGGGAGAGAGCAGGCACGGCCAAAGCCCTGGGGTACAGCGTGCAGTGTGGCTGGGGCGGAGGGAGAGGTAGATGTGCTGCAGACCTTCTGGTGAAAGCCTTTCTCAGCTTTGAGGAAGGCTTCGTGTGCAGAGTTCACCCCAGCAGAGTGGGGATGGCGCCATGTAGTTTATCCGGTGAACGTAGCAGCTGCACAGAAACGCGGATGGGGATGTTTATCACCAACAGTGATAAATAAAATTGTAAACAGCATCAGGTTAGTTCAGGTCAGGTTTTGCCACCAAATGAGTCGTACAAATCTTTAGACTTTTTGGATTTCAGAGTTGTAGAGCAGAAACTGGGGGTTGGGAGTAGAGGTCTTGGTCTAGGGCCTGGGGCTGTTTGAAGGAGTTTTGCTCCCTGGGGAAGGATGAACCATAGAAAGGACTGAGCAGCCTTTTGTTTTAAAAGTATCCTTCCAACCTCAACTGGAAACGTGGGTGTAGGAAGTGTTGGTGAAGACCAAGAGGCTGGTGAGGTCCACGCGGATGATGGGGACCTGGACATGGGGGATGGGCGGGCTGAGAAATGGTCACATTCTAGATGTATTTTGAGGGCGCTTGCTGATGGGCTGAATGGAGAATCAAAGCCAACACCAAGGCTGAGAGTGGGGGGTGCTATGTCCCGTGTTGGGGGAGTTACAGGTGATAAGGAAACGAGTAGGCACAGCAGTTACACGGAGCAGGACCGTCTCACCTGCCCAGGGGGGCTCTGGAAGCTTTGCAAGACCCTCTCCTTCCCACCAGCAAAGTCTCCAGTGCCCTTGAGATAAAGCCTGCTTTCTGCTGAGCCCTCCATAGACAGTTTCCTGGCTGAGCCCAGCCCAGCCTCCAGCCTCCTCCTCCCCAGACAAGCAGCACCCTCACTTCCTCCAGGGAATACTGTCCCCTTGACCCTTTATCTTTGACATTCCCATACTTGGTACCCTCTTTTCAAAGGGCAAGACTTCTCTCTGTTCTTTTCTGGAAAACTTTCAGTGACCACACACACACACACACACACACACACACACACACATACACACCATGACCCTCGTGGTGAAGTCCTCTGGCCCTGCCAACTTGAACACTTGCACTCCCACGCATCCCCAGACCTCAGTCAAGCCATCCTGGGCCCCTCCTGCCACACTTGGGACCCTACCCTCGCTTTCCTAGCCCCTGCACACTGGCCTCTCTCCTGGGATGTGTCCCCCACACGTGCCACCTGGGGTTCCCACAGCTCCAGGGCAGCAGGCATAGCAGACTCTGAAAACTACAGCCCCTAGAGTTGGGTCCTTTCGCTGGGTCATCTCCTGCCCTTCTTTCTGAGTGAACGAGGACGTGGCTTCCTGTGAGCCCACACTGGTGTGCTCGAGGTGTTCATTTTATACCACCCTTTTTGGGGACAGGGACCGTGCTTGTCACACTCACAGCTAATAGCTCCTAATGTGGCGCCATCCCTGGAATAAGGTGGGGGCTCCAGACGTTTGTTAAAGGAGCCAGTGAACCAAGAGATGAACGCCATCCCTCACCACCGCCGCATTGAGTCCTGCCCTCTCTGAATCCCCAAAACCTGCTGCTCCTCTCTCTCCTGTTTTGTTCTGTTGCTTTACTTTAGTCTTTATTTGTCTTACACAATGAAGTTCTGGAAGAGAAGGACAGTGTCGGTATCAGTGACAGTAATCACAGCAGCAGTTGCAGCTACCATTTTTTGAGCACTTACTCTGCTCGCTGACCTGGCCCTTTACACATATGATCCCATTTGTGATTTTTATTTTTTCAGAATCTTCATCACTTATTACCATCTGTCATAGGACCTTGCAGCTTGCACTGGAGCATGTAGCAGAATCCCACAAGCTGCACCCTGCGTTCCCTGACTCAGAATGTGCATTTCTAGCGGTTTCTTAGGGTGCTGGTGCTGCTGTCCTGAGCCACACTTAGGGAACCTTTAGCGTACGGTTGATGCTGCCGAGGCTTAGAGAAATTGCAGGACAGTCGTGCTCAGGGCCCACAGTTGGAGTGCTGGGACTGGACTCTGGCAGCGACTTCCCGTTGACGTGGTACTTTGCATCCTGGCTCCACTTCCCCCCTGCTGCTTTCCTTCTTCTCCAGAGGAGCAGACCGCTTTCTGTCCATTTCTCGTTTCTCCATCGTGTGCTGCCCAGGAAGCCATGAGATCACTTGCTCCTTTCATCTCTCTCTAAACCAAAGCAATGGCTGCCAGGCACGCGGCAATGGCCGTTTCCCATTCAAGGCAGCTGGCTCCGCTTGCTGGGATCAGATGTTTTCCCCGCCGGGAGGGTGTGAGGAGGAGATCACTGCTTTGGGCTCAAAGGGCCCTTCAGGTTGCAGGCCATGAGGCCCGAGGCACCTGTTCTCTCTGAGTCCTTGGGTTAGGAATGTGCAGGCCCAAGCTCACCTGTCACGTCTTCAGCTCAGACAGGGAAGAGCTCTGTCTCTGTTCCCTTAATTGGGCATCGGGGTGCATCCCGCCAGCCATTTGTTCCCTTGTCAGACATGCACTTAGTTTATTCTTGGGCTGCCGTGATTCTGTCCTTTGTACATCTGGATTGAGCCCAGTTTGGTTCCGGGCTTGAGCTGGGGATCGAAAGGGAAGCAGAAAAGATGCTAAGCCTGGTCTTCTACCGCTTGAGATCCAATAGGAGAAGAGCTCATTTATTCATTCAGCAGATCTTTATGACATGCTGAGCTTGTGCCTGCGCAGTGCTAGGTGTTGGGGATTCAGAAGGGAACAAAACAGGCCTCACCCTTCCTGACACAGACCTTGCTGCCCCTCGGGAGGCCACTTAGCTCTCGCACACCAGAAGCTTAATAAAAAATGTGCTGCAGGACTTAACAAGGTAAGGAAAGGCAGGGAGGAGTGGGGCAGAGGGTAGGGCACGGGGGCATTGGGGAAAGCCTTTCTGAGGTGACGCTTAGCAGGCAGCTGAAGGATGAGCAGTTCTGGCATGGAGTTATCTGGGGCGAGAGTAGAGCGGAGAGGAAGCAGCCAGTACCAAGGCCCTGAGGCAGGAACACTTGGACAGGAGCAGAGAGGGGGCAGGCAAGAGGCCAGAGTAGCCGGAGCAGAGAGGGAGGGAGAGAGGGAGAGGAGGAGGGAAATGGGAATCCAGATCAGTGGGTGGCAAAGCCTTCCTTGCTGCTTAGGGTAAGAGATGGATTTCACTACCCATGTGTATGTGGGGGGTGTTCCAAGCGGAAAAATAAAATGACATCATCCATGCATTTTAAATGTGGAGAATGAATGCAGGAAACAGGGAGGGGGCCCTTCAGGAAGCTGGGGTGCAGCAGATGAAGGGGTGGTTGGCTTTGATGTATGGATTTTGGAGATGGAGCCAACCAGCCATGCAGTGGATTAGACCTGGGGCAAGAAGGAAGAGAGAAGAATCAGAGTTGCTTCCCTCACTAGCCTGAGCTCAGGGTGAGCAATCGCAATGCCATCACTGAAGTAGAAAGATCTGCAGACAGATGGGCAGGAAAATGTGGATAATTGATTAGTCTGAAAGCAAGCTCAGAAAGAGAACTCAGTACTCTTACAGTGGAGTTTGAGGGTTGAGGGAAGGCTTCCATTAGAAAAGGGGTGAGAGGGTGAGAGGGCCTGTGCAAAGGCTCTGGGGCAGTTTGGCCAGCATTCATTCCAGGTCACTCGTCAGCTGTCTGCACAGGTGTGGAGGCAAGAGGGAAGACAGTGATAGAAGCAGACTTGAAGATGGGCTAGGAGCTTTGAGCTTGCCACAGGAGGCAGCTGGCCCGTTCAGTACCATTAATGAAGTCTTCCCAAGGAGCCCACAGCATAGTTCAGTCTTGAAGGATGCACAAAGGTTAACTAAGAAAAAGTGGCCAGGGGCTCATTCAGAGCTGTTGCCAAAGCATGTGGTCTGAAACAGCAGGTGGGTGGGGGAGTGAGCGAGCCCAGTGCCTGCACACCAGGCCGCATGGCACTTCTAGCAGGGGGCCAAGGAGACCTGACCCAGACAGGTGTGGGGAGCTGCAGAAACCTGGACGCCAGTGGGGCAGGGCAGCTCTGCACCCTCACCCAGCAGCCTGTCCCCAATCCTGGAGGGCTGTGCCTGTGGCCACGTGGGGTTTGCCGTGCCCCAGAACTGCCTTCTAAGCCAAGCACTCAAGCCAGCTCCACTGATAACCCCGCTGCCAGGCCCCACTGCTCTGTGCTGACATTCCCCAGCCTGGCGTCCCCAGAGTCACTGGGTTGGGAATTTACCCAACTCCTGCCCAGTCGGTGACTCTGCTCGGCTCATCGCCCTGACCCTCCAGCCAGCCATGCCACGGCCTCCAATTACAGAATCGAGGGCTTGAGCAGCTTTTTTGATTAACTGGGACGCTTGGTCTTTCTCTTTTCTTTTTTTAAACAGTAATACATAGATATTTATAATATAGAACATTTGGAAAATATGGAAAGTAAAACGAAGAGAAATACCCCCACAAAGACTGTTGCTGTTAGCACTTTGCTTCCAGTTTTACCGCACATTTCTCATCATTGAGATTATCCCACGGAGAATTGGGACTTTCCTTTTCACTTATCATCTCAGTGTAATCATTTGTAACTTTAAAAAAAAAAAAAAGCAAAACTCTCGTAAACCTTTGAAGTCTTAACCTATACGTTTTTCCTGATTTCCTAAACTGACCCCAATTGGCAGAGACTCAAGAGTGGTCAAAACCTCCCTCTTCCCCATCCCATCAGGCCACTTGTCTTGTACACAAAGAGTTGTTTTCTTTTGTTTGTTCTGCAGTCCTGAGGATTGAACCCAGGGCCTCTCCTCTGAGCTACATCCCCAGCTCTTTTTTATTTTGAGGGAGTGTCTCACTAAGTTGCCCAGGCTGGGTGTGCACCAGCATGCCCCGCTTCTGAAAGCATTTTTTATGTTGAATTCACAACAAAGTGCGGTTGTGCATTGAATATTCTCTTGATTTTGTCACATGCACTCCTGAAGGGGGGCCCTGGCTTCTGTCTCCCAACAGCGGTGTTAGGAGAGCACCAGTCATTGGTACCATAGCCTCCCCAGACCGCCTTCTCTGACCATTACCATTTTTAAAGTTCTTGGCCAACATAGGTTTAAAGAAAAAAAAAAAAAAAGGACAAAATAACAACAGAACAGTGCATTGTTAAAAAAAAAAAAAATCCTTGTTAGTGCGATGGGTCCTCTTGTCCAAACATTTGATAAACAGTTGTATTTCTGTTGTGAATCATTCATCCGCATCCTCTCCCCATATAGGAAGTGGAACCTAAATGTTATTCTTATCGATTTGCATGAGCACTTGAGATAGTGCAGGTATTTTTATCTGTGTCTCTTTCCTTTTTAGGTTGCATGAGCCCGAGAAGAATGCCAGAGAAATCACCCAGGTACAGTCCTTGGTGAGCTGGCCTGCCTGGGAAACTCAGGGTGTGATTTCCCTGCAGCACACAGAATTGGAGATCCGGTTCTAAATTAAGACTCTATCCCCAGGGAGAGAGATGGGAGGGTGGAAAATCCATACATTGTTAGTCCCCCCCCCTCCCCCGCTCCCCCAGTCCTCTGCTGATTCCTTCTCTCTGCTCCAGTCAAGAGGCTCTGGTGCAGCCTCCTTGGTTTATTGCTACCCATTCATCGTACAACTCCAGAGGGCACCATTCTTCGTGTGTCCCGTGAAGTCCCCTTCAGCCTCTCCTAGTGTGACTCACTTCTGCCTCCAGTCAATTGCTCAAGCCAGTTCCTCTACCAGGAGTTCACTGTCCAGCTCATTCCCACCTTCTCTTTGCAGCCCCTGCTCCCTAGAAGAGTTGCACAGCAGGACCTGCCAGGGCCTCTCTTGCCTCTGCTGATGGAAAGACCTTGTGTCATTAATTACCTCTCACCCAGGCACCCTCGCTTGGCCCAGCGATTTCTCCTCAACATTGCAGAGGAGACTTCATAGGCAACGTAGCTGGCCTGTTTCTGAGAAACAGAGCCCTGCCTGTCACCAGCTGACGCCGTCAGACCTCAGAGGCACAGGGCTTCTCGGCGCCTGGTAATGAGACAGGCCCTGCTCTGACCCGGGCAAAGAGAGTGCCAGCTGTCCTTGACATTCCCAGGCGGTTGGCATCGTTTTAGGCATAATCTGTGAAGGGCCAGGCTGCAAGAGGGTGGTGGGGCAGTGTTTGTAGGCCAGACACCTCAACCTGTCATCCTGACCTGCTGCAGCCCTGGGCAGAGGCTTGGGTCATAATTACTGAATGCAAAACACTTTCCAGTCAGGACAGAGAGGAACATTCTCCCCCTTCACTTTGGGGCTTTCTTCTGGGGAAGGGGTGAGGGTGGTGATGACTTGGGCACTGAAACCTATAGAAATCCATATTCAAAGATTACCGTGGGGCTGGGGATTTAGCTCAGCGGCACAGCGCCTGCCTGGCAAGCGCAAGGTCATGAGTTCGATATCGGGTACCGGGGAGAAAAATAAAAGATTACCGAGCTCCCACTAAGAGCAGGAACAAACAGTCATGACTTCTTGTGCTGGGCGGCAGCACTGTGCCTCAGTTCCCAGGGGCAGGCAGGACTCCTGCAGTGTCTGCCTGGACTCCCTGGGCAGCCGCGTATGAGCATCTGTGGCTCAGGACCTTGGAGCCATGATGTGGGAAGACCGCAACTCTAGGGTCCAGCAGACTTTGGTTCTTTTCCAGCTGGGTGACTTTGAATGACGGAGCCTCCGTAGGTCTGAGTTCATCACCTGTAAAATAGGCTCAATAATTCTTCCAGGCAAGGTTGTGGAGAGGCTTGAGTGAGGTGACCTGTGTGTGTGTGGTGGGGTGGGGGCTGGTGAGTCCTGAGCGCCGGGATGAGCATCTGCCATCCTGCACAGCGAAAGGTGGAGCTAGGAACAGGAGCGGCCCTTGCTCCGCTTCTAAGCACAGAGGCCAAGTGTCGGGGAGCAGAGCATGTGGAAGGATTCAGGTTTGGCTTGTGGTTGATGATTGGGAACCTTTATTGAAAGTGTCACTGGGTGTGGTGGTGCATGGCTGTAATCCCAGCACTCGGGAGGCCAAGGGGAGAGGATTGCTTTAAGTTTGAGGCCAGCCTGGGCTATATAGTGAGAGAGAGAGAGAGAGAGAGGGAGGGAGGGAGGGAGG